GCAGCGTGGCGCATCTCATCGCCAGTTCGTTGCATTTATAAAGCTCCAGCGGGTCGATCACCTTGATCACGCACGCTTGAGCCAAACATCGATTCGAAACAACCCTAAAACACAGCTTCCTTAAGGAACGAACAGGGGGAGAGCAAACGCCAAAGATGTATCTATTTCGGGGGTCGTACAACACACACGCGAACATCAAAATTATTACAAGCTATATACTTAACACACATAGCAAAATGCAACCAAATACGTGTTCATCACAGCGTATCATTCAAACATGTATGCTTTGGTTTATATTTCGCGCAAATGCATATTTAGTATATGCAGAAAATAGATCAAAATCAATCATGTGTCCTTCATATACATATATATTCGTTCCAAATGTGTCTAACGTGTCTTTAAAAATGTATATATATATTTGTAAGAACACATTCACAGTTGTTTTAAATATGTATACGTATGGAGGAGAATATATATTTATATGAGACAGCGTCAAAATTACTTGTCTGGGGTGTATTCATCTGGTGTTAGGACGTCCCGTATCGTTTTACAGGTTTTGCTTAAAAAGGACGTCCCGTATCGTTTTGCAGGCCGTGGATACGGGACACATCCCTGCCCCCGTGCTTGCTACCAAACGATTCTTTGCGGGAACAGCGCCAACGAAACAGCAACGGAATGGAAGCTCCCACAAGCAGGCGTTCCCCGGTATAAAGCCACACGGCGGCCAAAGCGCAATCCCTGCAAGCAAAGCAACTCACACCACGGGCCGCAGATTCCTTTTAGTCCCCCTCAGACTTGAGGAGGAGGAACTTGCACTTGACACAGAGTCCTCCTCCAACGGCTGTTGCGCCGCTGCTTTTGCCTAGCTTTGCACCTCTTCTCAACCAGCTCTCCCCGCTTGCTGGGTCCGCCACGCTTTCTCTCATCTCGTTGCCTCCTCAAGTCGGCGTGCCAGCAAACTCACGCAGTGTTGCGTCCATGTAGTTCCTCACCCGCTTGGCTGCTGGAGCTGGGGTTGTTCGCTTCACACCCAGGGCACACGTGCAGCCGCTTGGGGAGAAAGGACGAGGCTGCGTCCAAAGATGCTTGTCACGCCCCCGCGGCACCGCCGGCGCTGGAGCCGCGAGGCTGGCTTCCTCACCGCGGTGGTCTTCTTCACCTTCTCGCCTTCGCGATCACCTTGACAATTGCTTTTCCGCGCTGTTCGGCTCAGCCTTTGGAGCCGAGGCAGCTCTCTCTATGCGAGCATGCTGCCCCTCCTGGGTCAAAGCTTTCCACTTCTCCTCAACACGCACTCCTCAACCCATCGTGATTCTTCCTGTGTCAGCCCAGCGCCGCCGGTTTGTGGCTGCACGGCTGCGAGGCTGCCTGGCAATTCCTGGCATTACAATCCTTGCTCTCCAGCATTGCAGTTCTTTCACAAGCCACCCCCAAATGTGTGTCTCCTCGTAACTGCAGGGGTAGCGCTTTGGTGTCAAGTGGGCCACCCCCGACATTTAGCATCCTGCCCCATTGCGGGGGTATCGTCGGGGTATCGTTTTGGGGTATCGTTTTGGTGGTCGGTTTTTTCTCGAAGCGGCGCTGTTTGACAACTGTCTTACTTCCGCTCTAAGGAGCCTCAGAGAAGCGCTGGAGCGTGCAAAATGCAGCCCTGCAGTTTGCTTGCGGCCGAAGAAAGGTAACCTCCCAAGCACCTTGCGTGGCCAGCAAAAGGGCAAGCCAGTGGGACATCCTCAGAATGCATAGCTGCCGTCTTGGTTTCCGTCTATGGACGCTCCACCCTCCAGCTCTCGTGCTTTCTAGCCTTTTTCGTAGCTTTTTCATGCGCAGAGTGCAGATGCACGCATTCTTCGAAAGAGCTCGCTCATTTAGTTCCAGTGTTGCGCAAGTTCCTTCTGAACTTCGTTGACCAAACGGAGAACTACAGTTGCACCCCTTCTAAACTTCCTTGACTGAACGGAGAACTACTTTTACATCCCCTTCAAAAATGCAAACGCTGCAAGAAAGACTTTTGCCCAACTACAACTCGTAATGCTTTTTGCTGGCCGGCAGTTACCCCTGCAATGTGGTGGACACATGCTAGAAACGTTCGCCCCGTTCAAGCACAGCTTGTTTTTGCCACACGTGTCTTGTCACAAGCCAGCTGGTGCTCCAAATGTGAAGTTCCCTTTTGATCCCCCTGCCCTGCAACCCTTGCAGAGGAAGGGCCTAGTTGCAAGTCTCGACCAAGCAAATAAACACATGCTCTAGGAGAACACACAAACTAACAAGACATTTTTGTTTGCAACCAATGCCAACTTGCTGAAGGGGTGTCGTTTTTTTGGACGTCCCGTATCGTTTTTCGAGCAACAACGCAAACACAATACGTGCATGAAACACCCCCATATAAAGTACATGACGGTAATTTTGATGCTAACTCATATAATCAAACGGAAACAAAAATTGCACACGCATTCAAGTTAGCGCTCTTTTTCGAAAGCACCCGCCAGCAGGTAAGCTAGCTTCAGGCTGCAACTGCCTATATGGTCTCGATCGTTCGAGACCACGCATCGCATTAATGGCGTCACATTCGCTGCCACAAGAGAGTTCGTTTCAAGATGTAGCGACGGGCCCAAACCTTGAGCATCGTCCTCGGGTGACATGCAGACGACACGCCACGAAGCTGCTTCATGTGACCCTCGTCCAAAAATGTGGATGCTGCCATCGGGTTGATCTTCCAACGCCGAGTCTCGTCCAGCAGATGGGCGATGTAGTGGTGCTTCGGGCGCACCCGCCACAAAAAGTCACCACGCTCCAGAGGGCCAAGGCCTGATAGCACACCAAGTGCAGGCAGCCAAGCCAAGAGGACTCTGCAGCCTCTGCGTCTGACAGATGTGGCCGCTCGCCTTTGCTCCAGATTGACAGCGCCGCACTCAGCGAGAAGCACATGACCGCCCGCAGCTGAGCTTCAAAGATGCAACTGGCCGGCACGTTATGTGGAACGAGCTCCTCCTTAGATCCGGCGACGTCAATGAATTAAGACCGCCATGGAACAGCAATTGAAATAAGAACACGCCAATCATTTTTCGCCAATAGAAAACATATCTGGCAAAGTGTCAATCTCAAGTGCAACTTTGGTGACAAACTCGAACAAGACACGGGTGCGAGCAGCCTTCACTCGACTGTCAAGTTCTGGGTAGGACTTGCCATCGAACCCAAGTCGAGACTCTGTAAGTGGAGGTATGGATAAGTCCAGTTTCTGCCCGCGCGCCCATTCCTTCGCTAAGATTGTGAAGCGGTGCAAAACAGCGTCAGGCGTTGCATCGTTGCCCAACTTCACGTAGCTGTGCAGCTCTTTTGTCAGGAGCAGACTCACGAGCGTGCTGGCCACCACATCACGCAAAATGCCAAGGTGAATCAAATGCATACCTTACTTGCCCCGTGCCAAGAACAGCTTCATGCAGGCAACACACAAACACAACACACAAGCCAGCATCTTGTAAATATTAAAATTAGTGGGCAAGCGAAGGCTGCTGCGCCATTCCTCCCGGCTTAATCCTCCGCAAAGAAGGCTACTCGTGGGCAGCGCAGGCAGCGAGACAAAGCCAACGCAGCAACATGCCATGAGGCTTGGGCGCAGCCGTGTAAATATGAAATTTCAATGATAAAGAGAGAGAGAGAGAGAGAGAGAGAGTGTACATGAGGATGAAAGTAATGAATTCTTAGCACCAACCATATGTTCCTCGTTGAAGATTACTCCATACTCCAGAGAAGATAGCAGTTATAGCTCCTAAAGAAAGAACAATATGAAAATGCGCTACAACATAATATGTATCACGCAATCCTAGATCCAGCGCAGCAACGGCAAATAAAACCCGTGTTGCTCAAATGTTACCAGGCGCAGTCCCACAATCTCCGGGGCCTAGAATAGCCAGGCACTTGAAGCCACAAGGACTTGTCCTCCAAAGTATGCAGGCAATCTGTGTGCCTCCACTGAGCGCTTGCGGAAAAATCCCCACATGATAAATGACTGTTCGTCCGGGATGCCCAGCACCAATCACAAATCCAAGAGCATCTGTAATGTCTGGTTTGCAGGCTATGTGCGGGCATTGCCGCCTCCAAGTCTCCTTTCCAAGAAACAAAAGTAGCAGTGAAGCGGCCCATGCGCTGGCCAGCTCTCTTGGCCCTGAAGCTGCCGGCTGGAAATTGCGCCCCTGTGTGATCAGTGGTCGGCCACACGCCCGCGCGCAGTTGCTTCAAATCCCACGCGATGACATCGAGGATGGCCACACGGGTTTCAGTACACATTTGCGATGTCATTAAACCCACAACGCAGCATCTGGTCGCCCAACTGTCCCCACGCGCCATGGGTGTGGAAAAGGATATGAAAGTCGCTGTTGAGTCGTGCCAATTCGGCACACCATCTTCATGAAACGACAAAGGAACACACGTGGAGAGGTCTGAGGGGGCTACGCCCAAGCTAGCAAGAAAGGCCGGGTCCTCCTTCTCCCAATACTGTTGGATGCTGGCCTCCCCGAGAGGGCCAAAAAGGCATTTGTTCCTGACTGCTTCGCCCCGCGCGCACATATCAAACAGCATATCTGAAGGCAATACCATCGCCACTTCAAACGGCTGCACCTGGGCCAGACACACAATCTGTCTAGAAGCAACGTCACAACCAGTCGCAACTCAGGCTTCAGTGCAAGATACCCTTCGGGCTCTTATGATCGCCAAGCTACTTCCACATCAAGCTGCTTGGTGGTGAGCAGTGGGATGTTGGTCGTGTACGGAGGGAATGGCAACTTGACCCACCGGAACAAATCTCGTTCACGGCTGCTTGTAGCGAACTGATTGATGGTCCTGCCGTGGACCCCATCTTGCTGGAAGGCCGCAGCAATCTTGGCAGATTTTTTGACAGACATCGCCTCAGTTGCGAGGGTATGCTACAAATAGGTGAGACACAACTGAAAATGCAAACTCAAAGGTGAAAGCCGCAGAAAATACAAACACCAAGCCCAGGCACGCCAGCTCCCACTTCTTCAGCAAGTATGGAGCACCCACGACTGTCCCACTCGTTCACATTCCTGAGACAGCCAACTGGCACGTGTGTGCCACCATTCACAATTCGTGCAAAACAATCTTCACAAGTACTTCAAACGAGATTCTGTTTCTTGCGCCGCTTCTGGTGCTCTGGGCCAACCTGGTACCTATCAGCTGCACACATGCTGCAAGCTGGGCGGGCCACACGCGCACCCTAAACCCTAAAGTGGAGGCAAGTCAGCAGCGCTCAAACCCATGTCTGGCTTTACTCATGTGGCTCAGCATCAGGAACAGCACAGACTCAACCACGACAATCAAGTGTAGAAGCCAGCACAGCTTCTTTTGCCTCATGGCAGCACGAGCTCTGCACCTGCAACACACCCTGAGTCGACTCGGATCCTGCACAGAGCAAAATTTACTCTGGTGATAAGCCTTTGTAGTCACAGCCATGTGCAGGTCACACCCTGTGCAGAGCTCGACCAACAAAAACCAGGTGTGAGCCCTAAAGGCTTCAGAAGCCACAGGCGCACACAGAGCCCACACGTGAAACGCCAGCAACCTCAGGCAAGTTGTCTGAACATATCAGCTCATGCATCGCTGTCTCTATATCGTAGGTTGGGCCTGAGGACACTGGCGAAGTATCTCAGAGGCTAAAAAGCCACATGCTCTCAGCGGGCGCAAGATCAAGATGATGGCAGCCTCAAATCTGCAGCACCCAAGCCCGGCCACGTACGTTTGGGACATGTGGCGTGGTTAAACTGAATACGGAGCCCAGTTTCCAAATGTGCAATTGGCTTGCGACGATATGCGTAGACAAGTCACGGCTTCGCCTTGGCCTTCTTCTTCGGCGCGTTCTTCACCTTTAAGGACTTCACCATGCCCTGCGCCGCCATCTTCGGGGCCTCGTAGTTCCGGCTCACCTCAAGGAACTGCTTGACGTACGGCAAGTAGTCCTCCTCGCGGTCCACCTGCCCGGCCACGAGGGTACGCACACCATTGTACAGCTCCTCAAACTTCGCCGCGTGTTGCTCCACCGTATTTTTGAGGCTCTGCCCGAACTCTATTGTGCCCAATTGGGTGCCTAGCTCAAGCGCCTCCGACTTCTTCTTGAGCACCTTGCCACGCGCACAACAGTTCTCCTATAGAAAGCACCTTGCCAACTGGGAACGCGCAATTTCAAAGACACCCGCCTGAGTTGCGAGGGACTGCCCCTTCTGCAGGGGCGTAGTCTCTGCGACCTCCTTGGGGGTCTTGGTTCCCTTGCCACGCTTGCTGCTGGGCTGCGGCTGCTCAGGCTGTGGCGTGGGAGTCGATATGCCTGGGGAAGGCTGGGGCGAGGGCGAGGGCGGCACAGGCAGAGCGCCTCTCTTCTTGAAGATGGGCGCGGGTGGCTTCCTGCGTCCAGGGACCCGCCCGCTTGAGTATAGAAGAAAGCTACTTGCTGATCCAAAAAACAATCATTGATCGCTCACTGCTCGACTTGTTCAGCAAATCACATTCAATTTACTCGTGAGCCAAGTGGCATGAGCTCGCTCACCTGACTGATGTTCGAAGCATCCACCGCCACGCCCGCCGTGCGAAGGCGCTTGCCTTACAGGGCGCCGCACGCTTTAAAAAAACATCGGCAACAGCAGCACGCACAGAACATGCAATATTCACAAACACACACACACACACACCCACCCGCCCACCCACGCACGCACGCACGCACGCACGCACACACACAGACACAGACACAGACACAGACACAGACACAGACACAGACACAGACACAGACACAGACACAGACACAACACAAACAGACACAGACACAGACACAGACACAGACACAGACACAGACACAGACACAGACACAGACACAGACACAGAGAGACACAGAGAGACACAGAGAGACACAGAGAGACACAGAGAGACACAGAGAGACACAGAGTCACAGAGACACAGACACAGAGACACAGAGACACAGAGACACAGAGACACAGAGACACAGAGACACAGAGACACAGAGACACAGAGACACAGAGGCACAGACACGAGGCACAGAGACAGAGGCACAGAGACACACAGAGACACAGAGACACAGAGACACACAGAGACACACAGAGACACACAGAGACACACAGAGACACACAGAGACACACAGAGACACACAGAGACACAGAGACACAGAGACACACAGAGACACAGAGACACAGAGACACAGAGACACAGAGACACAGAGACACAGAGACACAGAGACACAGAGACACAGAGACACAGAGACACAGAGACACAGAGACACAGAGACACAGAGACACAGAGACACAGAGACACAGAGACACAGAGACACAGAGACACAGACACACAGACACACAGACACACAGACACACAGACACACAGACACACAGACACACAGACACACAGACACACAGACACACAGACACACAGACACACAGACACACAGACACACAGACACACAGACACACAGACACACAGACACACAGACTCACAGACACACAGACTCACAGACACACAGACACACAGACACACAGACACACAGACACACAGACACACAGACACACAGACACACAGACACACAGACACACAGACACACAGACACACAGACACACAGACACACAGACACACAGACACACAGACACACAGACACACAGACACACAGACACACAGACACACAGACACACAACACACAGACACACAGACACACAGACACACAGACACACAGACACACAGACACACAGACACACAGACACACAGACACACAGACACACAGACACACAGACACACAGACACACAGACACACAGACACACAGACACACAGACACACAGACACACAGACACACAGACACACAGACACACAGACACACAGACACACAGACACACAGACACACAGACACACAGACACACAGACACACAGACACACAGACACACAGACACACAGACAGACACACAGACAGACACACAGACTGTCAAGAGACGGCAAGGTGACGTCCCGTGGGACGCTGTGCACCGAACCCTCAAGCTTTAATACCAACCACGTAGAAAGGTGTATACGGACGATGCCGTTATAGCCGAACCCGTGTAAACGTTGTAAGGAAGAAGGAATGATAGTTACGACAGTGGTCCTGACGAATGCAGCGCAAGCAGTTGTTTTGCTCTTAATGCCCGTCACGTATGTGCGCAGTCACACATCAGATCTTGAACCTCAATTGTGTCTTGAGCCAAATGGCGATCAATGGAACTTGGGAAGCAACACCAACAAGGACCTCAGAACAGCTACCCAATTTCGGCACGGGGCCTAGAGGGTTTTAACATCCCCCATTTGGGTCGCATTGTTCATCATGCGGTCCAAACACCACAAAACGTTCCACTGGCCACGGCTTCAACTACGAAATCGTGTCGTGCATTCTTTTACTTGCTATCACTACACCGTTCATTCGCTGTGAAACATGCCGGGTTCGATTGTACGAAAAGTGAAACATTCATCCTCCAATCGAAGCACACATCCATATGCAGGTGTATATAATACACTGTGGCCACTTCACTTGACCGCCAGTGAACATTCCAGCTGCCGCATTTGCGCATCGCGCAGCTGTCATCCATAAATGGGTTGGCCACAAAAGTCCACCAGACGCGCCCGCTTGTGATCGGTCTGCATATCTCCGGCAAAGAAACATCGGTGAGTAATCAATGCAAATCATAGCCATTCCAGATACCATGGACAATGCATAAATAATGAAAAGATATCATCTATAAGGTAATAGTTCCATCCATGAATATCCAGAGCGTCATAGTCGTCGGAATATGTAACCATGTACACATCCATTCATCTTGGACACATGAATATAAATCATGACATAAGTCGTTCCACCGAAACAGTGTCGATGTGACGCAAGTAACAGATGGGGACTGGCCCACATCGTACCGCAATCATCATCTTCACGAAGCATACCTGTCCCCAATGGACAGCCTATGGGTACGTCGGCGGAACTCCTCGTCCAAGTTCTTCTGGGCTTCTCGTGCCCGGACACACTTCTTGTTGTAGTCCTCTGGCAACCAGTGCCCTTTCCGAAGGCACCAATCCAGCAGGGGTGTGTCGCATTTGTTCGGGTCGACGGCCGAGATGATGGCGCTCACGTTGACCGTGTAACCATGTTTGCCAAGGTTCAGGCCATCCCTCACGAATGATATATACTTACAGTTGAAAGCTAGTGCAAAACATCTGAAAATAATATCACCCACCGGGTGCACTCGGTCCTTGACCAGGAGCTTCATTTCTTCCTTGGTGACATCGAGGATTCTTGCTGCAATCCACAGCTTGTAGAATGTGTATAGTCCCTCGCATTTGTTCACCATCATACGAATATATTCGTCACGCTCCTCAACCGATCGGAAGGCTCTTGTCCGAACATTCTCCGATTGAGAAATCTTCGTTATTGTTGATGGCAAAAGTATACCTTCCTGATCATGCTCAGTGATGTTGGGGTACCTCTTGAAATCATTGTGATAAGGGCAGCCCGGATTCCCTTCGAGTCCGGCATTCATCGTTCTCTCCTCACCACCTTCAAACATCCCCCACATCTTGGACAGCTGGAGTGCGATAAATCCTGCCATGTACTGAGCCTCACGCGGCTCGTCAAGGCAGATCGCCATCCGTTGGGAACTTATAATGTCCCGTGACGTCAGATCGGTGTCGCGGTAATGCCAACCGCCGTCTTCTTCTTCTGACGCATAGCCGGATGTATATCCTTGCGTGTCCATGTCGTCATCTTCTCCCGGAACTTCCTCCGCTTCGTCCTCATCCTCCTGTGCTGCCGCATCGTGGTTAGCTTCTTCCTGTGCACGCCTGGCATCTCCAGAGACGTTGGGGTTTTGGTTGTCCTCCTCGTCATCGGAATTGATGTGAATGTAGTATCTTCCGATGGAGATCAGTTGTGCCTCGCACTCCAGGCATAAGCAGAAGCAGGTGGGGATCGCGGTCGCACATGATGGACATATCCGGCACCTCAGTCCTTCCCATGTCTCATCATTCAGGATGACGACTTTGCTGACTTCGTCCCGGACCTCGTTGACCTGTGCGTTGAACTCTTCCATCTTGTTGTTTCGATAGAGTTCGCAAGCACGATTAACCATGTCAACGATGTAGTGCAGATTATCGGCACCTGTCTCAGTCTCCGGCATCCTCTCGCTGATCTTTGCGACGTTCTGGAGGAACATCGCAGCCGACTCTTGGGAAGAGTTGACAAAGCCAGGGCAGATCTCGTTCTCCACACACTTCGAGTACGCCCTCTTGATGTCAGCGTACTCCAGGCGCTTCCCTCCGTTGCTTTTGCCAATCCAAATGGACTTGACCTCATAGAACGGGATCACGTCAAAGACCATGAAAGTCCCATTAGCCGCGACTCCAGCCCCATACCGCGCGAGGGTTGCACTGGGAATATAGATGATCGCAATCGGATCCCCTCTCCTCACGTTCCGTAGCGTTGTCTTCGTCGCCACGTTCATCTCATCCCATGGAGCAAACGCCCCGAAGTGCAGTGCTAGCCTGTTGCCGCCATCGATTCCGCCGGGGACTAGCCCACAGCGTACGATGCTTGGCAGGTTTTCCACATACGTCACATGGAATGCTCCTCCGAGAGTATCACCCATTCTTGCGGAATACCTATTCGCCAGTGCGGATGAGCTCATGAATCCAAAATCACTGTGACCGGTTGTGACTCGGATGCACCAAGGTCTGTACCATCCATCGCATCTGTTGAACATCCTGTCGATGTCGTCCCGATCCACGCCAGCTTCGGTCATTTCCTCCCTGGCTGCCCTCGTGTCGTTCGGGTTCATGATGCTCGGAAACCTTGCTGCCAAAACCTGGAATCTCGATTTTCTGCTTCCGGATTCCTGCCACTTGATCACCTCCATGATGCCCATGTATCGTTTCGCTCTCGTGGTGTATGGTGGGAATATGTCGTTGTTCCGGTCGTCAATGACAGCATCAATGTCGACCCATCCACCCTCGTCGCACCTGAAAGCACTTCCTCGGCAATTGCCGATCTTGTGTCGAAGGACTCTGCATAGGTCGTGAGATAGCTGGTTTGCTTGGTCCCTTGTAGTAAATACCGAGCGATCATCACCAATCCTGCATAGTGGAGCACCGTCGAAAGGAGCAATGCAGAAGTTGACACTCTTGCCAAGTTGCATCACGTCCACTTGCTCAAGGATTGCACCTTTGGGAAAGTATTTGGGGTCAACGATGGACGCATACGCCCATGGCAAGTGCACATCACTCACATCGCCATACTTCGGGATGTAGCACGGGATGGTGTCGCATCCCATCTCAAGCGTCTTCTTGAATGTCCTGTTGTCCCCGCACGGGTTGTAGGTGAGGTCGACGCCACCACATTGTAGCTCTCCTCCCTCAGCCGTGTCAGCCATCTCCACCAAATTAATGGTGTAGCTGTACATCTCAATTGTTTCTTTCCCTGCTTGTCCCCCTTTCTTTCTTTCCTTGGACGTTGATGAGGACGGTTCCTCCGTATCCCCCATGTCTTCATCAGATGAAACAGGGTCACTGCTGAGTAGCTCACGGAGCACCTTCA